CGGACAGCTCGGACACACAGACCGGCCGTGTGGCGTGTGTGCATTTCTCCCAGTGTGACAAGGTCAAAAGTACGCGGACCAATCAGAACTGCAGAAGCAAAGCAACCCTGCAATTGGCTGAAATGAGTGAGCTAATTCAACTAATCGCCACAAACGACAGAGCGGTGCGACTGAATTGCGCGGCCAATTAAAAAAGGACGGTTTGTATATGAAGCCAGACCATGAACTGCTTCATTCAGGTCGTCTCACTTGCTTCCATATCACTGGCTCTGTAGGCATCTTTTGCTCCCAGCCTCTCAGCTGAAGCGCATTGATGAATTCCACTCTCTTCTCCAACTCCCTAAGGACTACAAATGACGACAGACAAATACAAGCAACACTCAACGGTACTGAAGAGGTCATCGACCTCGTCAACATGGACTCGAACGCACAACTGGCTCTGGCAAGCATAGATCGATTCCCGAGGACACCCAAATGCGCCCGATGCCGCAATCACGGCGTTGTCTCCGCCCTGAAGGGTCACAAGCGGTACTGCCGATGGAAGGTGAGTCTGATTTTACACTGTCGAGAAGCTATAAGGCTTTAAATGGGCCGTGTTAAATCTATTTTTGAGTCGGTCACTACTTATTGGATGGGCACTTAGGAGCGTATAAAAGTAGTTTATGACATGTATCCACCCAATTTCGTTTAAGTTGATAAAAGACTGGTAGTAGAATTTTCCCACAATGATATGAGTTGAGCTGACGTCTTCATTGAATTTCACATTGACTTGCTTTCCCAAAAGTTGTTCTCATCCAGGCTGGACTGCAGTTTCGAACTCGCATCGGCCTTATTAACACCCCCAGCTGGAGTCGAACATAGCAAGGCAATGTGAAATTTAATGGAAACGTCAGCTCTACTCATATCAATGTGGGAAAATTCTTATACCAGTCCTTAATCACCTTAAACGAAATTGTGTGAATACATCTCATATTACTGATTTACCAATTGTCTCGAAACTCCATTTAAAATCCGAAAAATAAAATTAATTTGACTTTAATTTCACAAATTGGACGTGTTGCCAAAGCGATTAAGTTGAAAACAATTTGGATTATGTCCTCTGCTGTAGTCGTTGTGATAGTTCAAAACGTCGGATCGTGGATTTTGTACATTCCCAGATGCTTTGCTATGGTCGTGACTAGCATTTCCAGTCTAGGACTAAGCTACAAATGGTCAAAATGACATGTGAATTCAATCCATTGACTAACTTTCTGCCGAACAGTTGTAATCGCTTCTCCTTCCGAAGTGGCCTGCAGTTTCGACGTCGCTCAGGTCTGGTCAACCATTCTAGCGGAATTCGAGCCCGGATAGTGTAGTCATTCATCAGCTTAAGCTCAATAAGGCAAATACAGCTC